CCCACTTCAACTAATACAGTCCCCAGTTTGCTACTTGAAACTGAGTCTCGTACAGCAGAGAGAGATTAGATGAAGCTGAAGTTAGCTTTTTATTCTCATTTCCTGTTCCACATTAAATGATATAGCTTTTACATTCAGACATCTGTAGGAGCGCTATTGTGTACCTTCTGGGGGGGGGGTCTAGAGAGTCTAGATAGAAGCCACTGAAAATCAGCGTATCTTTGGTTTTGTTTGGTTGTTTCGTGTTTGTTTGGTGGAGAAAATAAAGAATATGGCTGCTGCAAATGTGAACCCTGCCTCCAGCGTCCTCCTTGAGCCCGGGGTAGCACAGGGCTTGTTACAATCACCCTCTTAGTATTCAAATTCAGCATGACTGTGTGAATCTGGTACTGGCTGACATATCATGCAGTGCTCTACATTTCCATGTCCATTACATTTTTTGCATAATTGATGTAGCAATTTTCACACTGAATCAAATGAAGATGGAGAAACTCCAGAAAACCAAGATGGCAGCAAGAAGACAAGAATGAAAAAGCTACTTAAAGAGGATGAGGACATATCCAAGCAGGGGGGGCAGAGAAAAATGCAAGCTAGCATTAGTTTGTAGCACACTGTCTTGATTGCATCATATTTAAGATAAAAAAAAACTAAAAATTTTTGCCAGTTTTCATTTTCTCAGTAGCCGCTGGCCTCGGTTATCTCAGTGTAGAACAGTGGTCTCCAACCCTGGTCCTGGAGATCTACCTTCCTGCAGAGCCTAGTTCCAGGTTGGAACTAAACTCTGCAGGAAGGACCAGGGTGGCGTAGCTTATACATAATAAATAAGAGAAAGAAATGAAGATGAAAATGTGCTGTTTTTAGAAAAAGTAATTATGTATGAAAACAATGCTGTGTATGTGTGTGTGGGGGGGGGCGGGTGGCTGTTAGTGAGTTTGGGGTGGGCTGGTCCACATCATGTAACTCCCAGTCTGAAAACCCACTAGGGACCCTGCTTCAAAACTATAGTTTGTGTTTTCATGTTTGTGAAATCATAACACATAACAAAAAATACCTTTATATAAAGCTAACTTCTGATAGGGCCCCTATAGGATTCCAGTAATATGCTAGCACTAACCTAATGTACATGAACATTTACTAAATTCAAAAATGAAATATTTTAAGCTTGTAAAACACACTCCATGTTTTATCTGAAGCCTGTAACAGACATTAACATATATCTGACCATACATATGTCAGTTTTACATTGACTCTTTTAGTAAAGAGTCCTGGCATAGAGCTGCAATAACAACTGCCTGAAATGTGGTTAGATTACTGCATGTTTTGACAATCAGTGACTCATCTAGAACTTCCAGAAGTCCTAGGGTGATCATGACTAGTTGATTCCACTGTCACTTCCTAATTATGCTGATAGCTAATTTAACCGGTAAGTCCTTCAGTTTGGCTCCTGAAGTCCTAAATAACGGGAAAGGTTTTGCCAGTATCTAAATAACACAGAGAAAAAAATATTTAACTTGATCTTCCTTTTCATGTTTTAGGAATTTTAACCTTTTGTTTACAACCACGACTTAAAAAACAATAAAATAACAGTATCACTACAAAATATTTAACCCTAAAAAAGGGCCACACTCTGAAAAAGGTTAAAACCCTCTCCTATAAATCATTAAGCGTTTTCTGAAGCCAAGAAGGCCCTGGGGGTCCCCACTGATAGCTAGGAGAGGCAGGGAAAAAGGAACGGGCTTCAGTTGGGTTTGGACTTGGGTGTAGAACGTTCTTTGGCTGTATTTGGGTTTGGACCAAAACTTCAGGCCTGTTTAAAGCTCTGTCTCTGACTAGTCTGAGGAGAATGCGTGTTTATTGCTGAAATGGGGAGTGAGCAGACACGTGGATGGAGCCGCCAGGGAAATGAAGCTGAAAGGCAGTCTGGCATTTCCATGCTGCTCTGTTCAGCTAAATGCGATTTAGTGGATGGTTATGTTGTTTTAGTAGTGTGTGGAGTCACTATACAAACATCCACGCACACATAGCCACACACGCACTTTCCATTTCCCACAAGACATTTGTTTCTGAGGACTGAGTGAATTAGAGGCAGTTAGAGCTCCTGGTCTGTTGACTGAAGGCCACACATCTGGATCTCTGTGCTACATCTGAACATGGAACTTCTTCCAGTCGGTGCCATGCATGGATGATATTCGGGTGTGGGTTCGGAGCCTGTTTCTTCTTTTATGCTAGGTGACGTGTATTCTGATAGCGCCCCCTCCAGGACTGCTGGACGTTCTCAATGAAATGAGTGAGTTACGAAGCCTCATTAAAGTGCTTCACCTAAAGCGCTCATTATAGCAGAGAAACAATCTGGAATTCAGATACACACCATGACATGATATATTGTTTAAAATTTTACAAATCTGAACTATCAAGACACTGGAAAATGCAGTGAATTTTTTCCTAAGGCAGTTTGTCACACCCTGGGAAACCACCAGCAGAGACAGTGAGGAATTAGCTTTGCCAAACAGCTTATTAATGACTTACAATCATCCACTGTTTTCACAGTAAAATGGAATAAAACATTGCAGGTGCATATTATTTAACAAACTGTTTCAAATTAAATTAAACCTTCTCTAGTTCTCTATCAGTTCTCTTTCCCAACACGTCATCGGCTTACTTGTCAATCATTACCAATATCTGGTAACATCACTCTATCGCCCACGACTAATGCTTGCACTACTACTAGCTTTTGGTAACATGTATCTCTCTAAACAAACTTACTGATTATTAAAAACTTTACATCTCACACATGAGTGTGATTCGTTATCTATGCACCTGCAGGGACATCTGAGAGAACGAGGCAAGATCAACTTCAGCAATAATGTTATAGTGCTTGATTTGAATCTTTAAATGACTTTAAAATCTTAAAGTCAAATCTTTTTCTTATGTTTTTTAATTATGTATATCTTATTAAATATTTGACCTTTTCAGTTTTACGTTGTTACTTATTTTATTTGCTTGTTTTAAGATATGCCATGTTTAGGGTGTACACAGGTGTTTCATTTATTGCCTTTGCATGTGCACTTTTTATATAAAACAATAAATATACTGTTCAAAGCAGAATGAGGTCTAATAGAACAGTCTTTCTCCCTCTGGTGGTGACATCTGCTTGAAACCTGATGATTCCACATCATTAATTACAGGTGTTTCCTTTGGGGCTCGACCGATATATAAGTGTTGTGATCGATACAGAGGCCGTTTAAGGGCTGTAAATTCTGATTACAATTAAATGTACATTTTCATTTTTTACTGAAGTAATTCTAGTTAAACAGTGATTTACTGACTAATATGACGGTCAATTCTCTCTTCTTAAATGAAATAAACAGCAGATACTCAGTCTTAAATAATATAAATATTGTAGCACTGGGGGCGGAGCTACACAGAATCTTTACAGTTGTGGTTTCTGTTAATGACCTCTTATTTTTTTCCCAAATTCAGCAGCGCTCTATCATATTTTTTTTGCTGTAATATTTTAAATTCACAATAAAATTACGTGATGTCATCTTATCATTGCAAGATCTGAGTTGCAGAGATGCAATCAAAAAGGTCAATAATAAATACAAACTAAAAATGCAGGTTGTCTTTTCATATCAGCTGACCAATACATCGGTCAGCTTCTACTCGGTATACATAATATTTAACCATTCTTTTCTCCTGTCCCAAGAAAACCTCCAATCTACATTACTGACCATTTTAAAATGCCTTTGTTTTACTCCAGAAGAGAAAATGCATACAAAAAATATTATCAGGAAATAAAACATGCTTTACATGCATCTTGCTAATGGTCTCTAAAGAGATACTGACCACTGTTCTTCTGAATCACAATATATTGTAATGGCTGAAAATTAGAGGAAGAGATTTAAGATAAGCAGCCCTCAACACTGAAACTGAACTTTGACTCGCTGGCTTTGATGTCCACCGACAACATGACAGACTATCTATTCATTTGTGAGCTAGATGCTGTTAACACACTGTATATGATATTTGAATACAATGTATATACTATCAAAATATCGAAGGCGGCAAACCACAAAAAAAACAAAAAAACAAAACAAAATCTAGGATGAGTTTCCCAAAAAATCATAGCTCCAACAGATGAACTCCTCCAGTATATCTGAGAAATTTAGCTAATCTTTATACTTAAGTATTCATACACGTTAAAAGAATGGTTCATTGAAAAAATCAAACTTTCATATTTTTCCCCTTTCACCAAACATAGCTGATCAGCCAAGATGTTTGTTGTCCAAAGTTTGCTTCTTCAGCTTTACACTGATGTTCTGAGGCTAATGTAGCTAAAACTGCCAGACTGCTCCAATGTGGAGGAAGACCCCAGGCTGCTCCAGTGTGGCTCCAATTTGCAGAAACACCAATCAGCATTGAGGAATGAGTGTGACAAGGAGTGTCTTCCTCCCACACCAAAACTCCATAAACTCCATTTCTTTGAAGTTGCAAATCGGAGGTGTTCCTTTGACTTCTGATCACCAATTTTGGACTCAGTTCGATTCTTACTCTTCAGAAGACAACGTATGCAAACCTCTGGACTGGTATCTCTTTCTGTCCATCATGACCCTCGGAGGCAGAGCTCTTTCTGAAGCAAGCTTCCAGGCAGAGCTACGTCACTGAACCCAAGGAGTGTAAATATAAGCTTCTCTCTGCTTCTCTCCCAATATTGACACGGCAATCAGTCTCACTAAAAAGGTCCTTCTACAGTTAATGTCACAACAGAAGAACGCTTTTTGGTGCTATATAGAACCCTTTTCAAAAAGGCTCTATATAGAACCATCTACAGCACATTCTTCATTAATCTGAAGAACGCTTTAATGATGCAAAGGGTTCTTTGAGTGTTCATGGTTCTATATAGAACCATGTTCTTTACTAAAGAACCCTTGAGGAACCATCATTTTTAAGAGTGTACAGTGGAAAACAAGCTGTAGCTTCTCCTTCACGTCAGCACTCACCTACGATCCAGAGGATGAGCAGGTAGTCGATCAGCTCCAGCGCGGGGCCCATGGTGTTCTTCTTGCCCTCGTTATAGACCAGTGAGTACAGGTTGAGCAGCAGCAAGAAGGTGAAGTAGGAGGCGCTGTGGATGATGAACTTGACAAAGGGCGTGTGGATGATCTGACCCACGCGAGAGCGCGGCCCCAGCAGGTAGCAGACGGACAGCAGAGGCCACAGCAGAGCCACGCTCAGAACCGTGACCATCTTCAGCCCCGTGTGCTTGCGGCGGTAACTCGCCATCTCTCCGAACCACACCGTGTTCAGGAACTGCTGGCAGTTGGACTGCGCCACAAACTGCCATGGGGCGGGGCGACGGAGGGCGTGCAAAACAGAGATAGAGTAAATGAGACCACTTATTTTTAACAGCTCAACACATTGGCCCGTTTTCACAAAGCTTCCATGTACAGGAGTGCTGATCCAGGATCAGATTTCTTTTTGTTACTATGGCACCGTCTCTGAAAAGCCTCATGGATACAGGCCACTGTAAGAATCAGATATATAAACAGATTTGTCTTACGTGGCTCGTATGAGTGATTTAAGAGAGCCTTAATTTCTTTTAGAGTGAGGTGAGCATTCATAAATCTTCTCATACACAGATTTTTCTCCTAGGCACAAAGATCATTTCAGAGCTGTCCAGACTTGTCATGTGAGTCAGGGACAATTAATCTGCTCTTCTCTGAAGATAGAACATCTTGCTTTAAACTAGTGGTTTGTATATGTTTCATTGCTTCATGATACATAAGGTTCATTCTCCATTTAGAGGGGAAACCATGTCACAAAGGTTGCAGGGCTAAAAAAAGATGCTTGAAATATTAGGCCTAAGATTAAATAATACTTTTCCCTTATGATTCTCAGATTTTCCGTTTTCTATCCTGTTTCATAGTCGCTCTGCATCTGTAAAACAACTCGTCCCAAAAACAATTTTCAACATTTGGGAAACCATTTTAAAATAAAAAAATATATATTTTTACGAGGTTTAACTTAGGAATTTGTATAATACAGATTCATTCGTTACACTACATTTAAAAAATATGTATTTCGTTTAGAAAAATTCATTTGTCTCAGATTTTGGTCACTGGTGCTATCAGGACTCTTATATTACATTTTAACTCAGTATTTTCAGCTTTATTAAACTGTATCTTTGGGTCGAGGCTCATCAGAGAGGAAGCATGAGAGGCATGAGAAGGCGAGTCACACTCGCTCACTGTATGTCATTAATTTATTAATAATTTTGTTTATCAGGCAGCACAAAACTTCTATGTGTCACCGGTGTTCTGTGCTTTAATGGCTGGGTAATTAAAATTTTGTCCAAATAATGCCAAATATCATTTTTATTCCTGATTTTAAGTACACGGTCACCTGATCAGCCAATGAGTCAAAATCCTCAGTTTTAACCAGAGGGTCACTGGAGTCACAGTCACTGGTGTTACACTATATTCATCCAACACCAGTGACTGTAAAATATGTTTGGAATTAAGCTCCTTTTTGCCTGTATGATAATAGGAGATGTTAATGGACGTTTTAAGATTTAAAGATTTTTAAGTTTTGGGATGAAAGAAGCAGATTTTTTAAAAAGTGTATCCACTTTAATTCCCTCTTCAAATGGAGAATGATCCATAATCACATTAATATCCTGTCTGATGGCATTTTCAGCTTTTCTTTCACAAATACAACTTTCTTATTCAAACTATAATTCAAAGGTTAGATTTACCCTTTCTTTCAGTTGTAATGAAGATTTTGAGACAATAACTACTATAAACTATAATAACTACTATAAATTATACCTCTGCAACAAGATATTCAGCTTCCCAGCAGTAACGTTAGCTAAAGGCCTTCCTTCTGCATTCACCAGCAAGCAAGCAAGAATGAATAAATGAATGAATAAATGATTGAATGAATAAATAAATAAATAAATAAATAAATAAATAAATAAATAGATGCTAATGTGGCTTATGGCCACACAAAAACGGATTAAAGCAGGATCTTGATTACTCAATGCGACTCAATTCTGGAAAAGCAGTGATTCTGCAGACCACAGTAGGGCTGCAAGTTGTGTAAGTTTTACAGTGTGAGAGTTTTGTGCAAGTACATATTATTGTTCTTTACAAAACTGGTAGCTATGTAGACGAATAACAAGTGAAAATCCCAATTCTAAGCAAAATATCATGATTCCCATTTAATCAAGAATCATGCAGCCCTGGCTAACTAAAGCCGATGCTGTTTCAGTTCACTGTTAATTATGCATTTAGCCACAATATCTTTTGCAGCTCCTGACCTCCTTCTGATTGTATCTGATGGCCAGTTTGAGCCGGCTGAGGTTCATGCGCTCCTCCAGCAGTCCTCTCTTGTCCACGTGATCTTCGCTGGACGTGTGGTTCAGGATGACTTCCAGCTCGCGAGAGTTCCGGGCCTGGGCCAGCAGGTCCTTGGCGAACATCTTACACTGCTTGGCCAACTCTTCATAATCGTTCCTGTTTCCCAACGAGAGAGTGTAAAATGCCAGTGGACACACTGTTATCCATCTGTCTGACCGATTAGAAAGTGAATAAAGAATGGTCATGCCAAAGAGCAGCAACTGATGAAACATTTTACAGCTTTCAGGCTACGAAGTTCGAACATCTGTGAAAAATGTCAGTTTCCAGCACCAAAATCACTGGAGCCTGGACACGAATTCACACATCCATAAGTATCAAAGTAAAAATATTTATTACTTACAGTGCTAATATGAGCAAAAACAGACTATTTATTATTAAAGGAATTGTATTTCTAATGTATATGGACCATTCTACAGTCCCACACTAAAAAATACATACTAAAACAATGAAGTATTCAGACCTTAGATGTTTTATATATATATATATATATATATAAGGATTATGTTATGATCTGTTTAAACCCAAGGCACTGATTTAGTTAGTAATAAGCTAAAAATCATCATTTATAGAGTACTTTCTGTTGGAAGGTTAGTCCCAAACCTTAACCCCTAAATTTCAACTGAAAACGTGGGAAAATACCGTCATATTTTATTTAAAATAAATCTTTTCACTTTTTGATTACTATTTCGATATATTTAAATTGATCAGAGGTTACGTTTTTAACATGAAAAACATTCAGAAAATGCTGTCTCCTGTTCTCACGTCACTACCGAAACACAGAGCTTTAGCCTGTAGGCGGAGCCTCATTTTAGCCACACTCCTGCATTTCAGAGCAGGAAGTGAGGCTGCATCCCTGTCCGTCATGGCCACATGGTGAGCAGTTGGATTCCATTATTTCGAAGTAAATGTGTCCCAAAGTCTGAAAATCAGTATAGCCTTAAGATCTGTCACTACTGAAACACATCATTTCTGCAATTAAGTAAACTGTTCTGTGTTTTAAACAAAATTAATATGATTTATTATGTGTACAACTGTTCAAGGCTGTGTTTGCTACTCCTGTACCGGCTAGCGTTTTTTAGCTCTGCTCAAAATGATCTACAATTGTCAACACCGAAACAGTCACTACTGAAACATTTGGTGAAGTTTCTGTAATGTTATGATTTGTTTTCAGCAGTGACAGAATGGAATGTTCAGCCATTGTATATTTTAATAAAATATACAAAATTAAGGTATAAGGTATTATTTTAGCCCAAGTCAGTAAAAAGTCCAAAATGTGTTTTCAACTCTGACTTTGATTAAATTTGGTAGAATGATTCATAAACCTTTTTCTCTGATATTCTCTAATATCTAATCCAGCATTTCCTGCTGATATCTACTTCTATACAGTGCTTTAGCCCCTCTCTCTCTCTCTCTCTCTCTCTCTCTTTTTCTCAGTACCTGAATTCCACCTCCACCAGACTGAGCTCCTTGAGGTCAGCGCTGAGCTCAAACGCTCGGAGGATGGGGTCCTCCTCCGTCAGCATGATAAGTGATGGGCTGGCCAGGCAGCGGTAGATATCCAGCCGAAACCTGCAGGAGAGAAGGATCATCAGTCAGGCAGAACTGTAGCATGAATAAGCAACGTTTTGCAAAATCAAGCTTCCACAAAGATTTTTGGTGGAGCCACCCCCACTTTTGCTTTCCTGAAGAACCTTTTAAAGGATTGTTGTTTAGACAATCCACTCTTGTAAATGACAAAGCGAACATTAAGAACTGTAAAGCCTTGTGAAGAACCTCCACATAACATAAAAGCTCTATATTAGGGTTGCGCAATAATCTTGGAATCACATCTGCATCCACAGATATTTGCTTTAAAAAACGACTGACTTTAGACATTCAGTGTCAAGCATTAAACAGCCCATATTCTAGATTTTCTTGTCTTTTATTTCTCTCTCTGAGGTCCACTTATATTGTGTGGTTTTATGTGCCAAAAACAGTCATAATTCATTTTTACCCGACCCGTCCAATTTTCACCCTCTTTATCTCTTAGAATTAAACAGGCTGTTTTTGTCACTGTGCCTTTATGACTGACATACGTAAAAGACCTCTGTTCTGATTGGCTGCCCTGTATAGTGCCTCATTCAGAAAGTAGTATGGGATGAAACACCCCTTATAACCTCAGCACAGTGGGTGTAGCTAAGCTGATGTGGGCTGAGTAGGTGGAAATATGTAAATACTTGGCTAAGTCAAGTCAGTTTAGTTATACAGTGCTTTTTACAACAGGTGTTGTCACAAAGCAGCTTTACAGAAAAATCCGGGTCCAAGCCCCCATGAGTGTCGCCAGTGGCGACAGTGGCAAGGAAAAACTCCCTAAGAGCAAGAGGAAGAAACCTTGAGAGGAACCAAGACTCAAAATGGGAACCCATCCTCCTCTGGTCGACACCGGATAGCAAACAACATTAACTATGTGGCCGGCCACGCGCAAAGGCTCATGGTATGTGCGCACCCTTCAACAAAGGGACTATTTATGTTGTTTATTGTTGTTTTCTGTTAGTTTAATATAAAAATGAATTATGACTGACTTTGGTACACAAGACCTTAGAAATGTTCTAAGTGGATCTCAAAAGTATGAAGACGTAAGGCCTCTCCTGGCTGGCGTAGTGATTTCCTGACTGCTATTTTTCAAACTACAAATATATGAAAAGGATCAAGAATAACATAAAGAATCCCAATATGTTTCTACCTGGAACTGTATCTGTTGTTTTACTTACAAAAATCCATCTTCTACAAAGACTAAGATACGGAAACACTGTTTTCCAAACTATATCCGGAGTCTCAGTGAAATACTACTTTCCACTGGGTGCCTAGATGATAAATCATACTACAACAAATGCCTGGTTTCTGAAGTTATTGGAACTGTAATATCTAAAACAGCCCTGCTGCTCTGGATACGCCAGAAACATTAAATAAAAAAAGGACCCTAATACGCCAGGAGCATGAAACGCTTTGGCCAAAACATGTCAGAATGAGATGGGCTGTGTCTGTTTGCCCTTCCGTTGAGGAACAGGAGACGCTCCTTGCCTGGAGTGACGCAGGCTGTCTTTCTTGTTCTTGGCGTTGCAGAGGGTGCATTCACAGCCCACAGCATGTGGCCGAGGCAGGGAGATGTCCTGCTTCAGCAGCATTGTCAGAATCTCGTAGTTGTTCCTGTGAGCGGCTAGAATGACAGGGGCCACGTCCATGGTTGTGGAATATTCTGGATTTTGGATGCGCTGCATCAGTTTCTGAAACCCAGAAAAAAGAGGAGAAAAAAGCATAAAAGCCCTGTCATTAGGAAGATGTCTAATTATGCCTAATGCTTTTGAGCACATCCCACTACGAAGTAAATGCCAATCCGCTGAACTGCGAGAGCACTCTGAGTCTGATAACGTTCAGACAGATTTGATCAAACCACCCGTATTTATAAATGGAACTAAAAGCTACTTGCAGTGGTTGAGCAATCACATCAAAAAGGCATAAGATCTAAAGGGCACCGCAGGCCGGGATGTTCTAGGATTTGCTGCTTTTTAGGCTGGCTGTTAGAGCTGCTACAGGTATCAGAACCCATAAATAGTCTACAGATGACATGGTTAACACTTTTTTTTCTGATACTGATATCTTTCCGATCATCTGCCGAGACTAATTAGATATTTTTTTTTCTTTTATAAAAATAAAGAGCTTTAAAATGAGCTTTAAAATCATTTGTTTTAACACAATCAACACAAATAATAAAGTCACTCAAAGCAAAAGGATTTTAGTCTAATGTCCAAGTCAGTTAAAAGTCTGAAGCGTGTTTTGAACATTACAGCTTATGATGACACACGATTCATGATTTTGGCTTTACAATTTTATATTCTCACGATATTTTAAACAAAATTTGAATTAAACATAATTGTCTAATGACAATTATTTAAGACAATCGCAATTATTTGAGACGATCACAATTATTTAAGCTGACTGCAATCATTTAATACAGAGGTCTGACCTGCCGATTGCAGTTTTCTTTCTTTCTAAGAACTATAACAGCAGCACAAGCAAACATTTTTGTAACTTTTCTATAATGGAAAATTCTCACATCTCAAAATAATGGGGGGGTAATCGTGGGCTGGAGGTTTGGGCAACCAGCCTTGTGACCGGAAGGTCGCCGGTTTGATTCTCTGAGCTGACAGTACAGTGGCCTTGAGCAAGGCACCCAACCCCCAACTGCTCCCTGTGTGCTGTGGATAGGGCTGCTCACTGCCCTCTAGTGTGTGTGCATTCACTAGTGTGCATGTGGTGCTCCACTGCGCAGATGGGTTAAAATGCAGAGGTGAAATTTCCCTGTTCTGGGACTAAGAAGGGTCACTTAAATAAAAAGTGCACTAGGTTATAGGACAAACCTTTTTTTTTACAAACCTCCAGCTAAAAAGGAAGTGCATGATTTCTAGTTTTCCAAATCAAAACAGGTTCAACAGAATAATAGAAACAGAAGCACTGCCTATAACAAGGCACCTTTAGGTTCCCCCATAAAAATATATAACTGGTGTAACTGGAAATCTTTGTCCACTGACGTCAGGCTTACGTTAGACGTCCAAATTTGTTGTAAAACTAATTGCTGCTTTGGAATCAACTTGTAGCAGCCTGCACAAGATGAAACATTTCTAGTAATACAACATCCGAGAAGTATTGCCTACTTGGTATTGTGCACCTTGGGCTCAGGTAATGTATCGAACTTCTGAAATGCCTACTTTTCACTAAGAAACGGCTGGTCATGCAGCTATAAGCTCACTAATTTAACTCGTAATGGCTTTGGTCTTTTATTGCTGAGGAAAGACAGAAGAGGCTGCTGGCTTGTGGCTGCTCTGCTCTCTCACTAGCTTTAGTTTTAGCCTCTTTGCATTTGCCAGCTTCTTCTAATTGAGCATTTTAGCGGAGTGATTGGTGTTTTAAGTGTCTTATAAAACTTGTCCCGAAGGCTCACTTCAGCCTTGCAGGTAATGCAAACTTTGTTGTCTTCTTCACTCACTGTGAAGAACTTCCACACTGACGACACGTTGTGTGTGTGTGGCTGAGCTGCTGTCGCGCAACATGAACCACTGTGTGGCGGTAAAGTGTAAATTTGACCGACACAGAACTGGATATACGAGACTGACCAAGCTGTCAGCGGCTGATTAACTGGTGCATCTTTAGCGCGTAATCTTTGTTTCTTTGTTATTTATGTGGCTAATTCTAACATTTTAGCATGTATTCCTGATGAAAACAACAGCTGGTCATCCAGTGCTTTGAATATAATTTTTTTCTGTTTTTTTCTGAATTTTTTTCCTTGTATTTTTCACTCTAATGAAGAACATGTCGCTTTGCTTAAATCTGCATGTGACCATGTGTAACTGTAGACATGTGCATGAGCGTGCATGCAGTACTGTTTCGACGGAACAACCTTTTGGCTGTTTTTTCTCCTGACGCTCCTGTTTACGTTTTAACGCAAAACATTCACTAACTATATGTCCTGGTCTGTGGCAGTAATAACCCTCCACTGAGGCTTAGCTAGGATTAGGTGATCTGGTCTTGCGTGGCGGGTTAGTCTTGAAACTTGTGTCACCTCTGTTCCCTGAACTCAGATTAAAAATGAAACTGTTCCTGTGTGTAAGCATAAAGAGAAGAAGAGGACGAGCTTCTTCCCACAAGCCATCACTCTCTTGAACAATTAAAACAATATAAACAATATTCCAGCTTCTAAACGGCACTTCTAAATATACTGGTACATACACCGATCAGGCATAACATTATGACCACCTCCTTGTTTCTACGCTCATACGCTAAGAATGATCCACCACCCAAATAGTACCTGCTCTGTGAGGGTCCTGTGGGGGTCCTGACCACTGAAGAACAGGGTAAAAGGGGGCTAACAAAGTATGCAGAGAAACAGATGGACTACAGTCTGTAACTGTAGAACTACAAAGTGCACCTATATAGTAAGTGGAGCTGATAAAATTGACAATGAGCGTAGAAACAAGGAGGTGGTCATAATGTTATGCCTGATCTGTGTAGTATCACACTTAACATTCCATCCTCTGAAACTACCGTATCAGATCAGTGTTTATCCTAGCATCTTACTTATTACCCCACTTATCTGACTGTTACCTCACTGATCCCTTTCTTTGCCGCTGTACACCCTTTAACTGCTGCTGCACTCAGCACTTTAATATAAGACACATACCGTGCACAATGAAAGGTTTACAGGTATGACTGTGTGTGTGTGTGTGTGTGTGTGTTTATGAGTGAGTGAGGGTAGGAATGCATGTTTTATTTATTTAATTTAATTTAATTTAATTTAATTTTATTTTATTTTATTTTATTTTATTCACTACATGTAAATGTTTGTCTGATACTGTGCACTGTGAGCTCCTGTAACCAAAACCAAATGTACCCTGTATGTTGTAAACATACCTGGCCAATAAAGCTTGACTCTGATTCTGATTCTGAAACTCATCAGCGAGTACTGCAGCCTGAAAGAGAGCTGTTACTTTGCACTCATTTAAGTACACTGCAAGGCAGTCAGGCAGACAATTTTTAAAATCCTTGAGCAGCATAAGTTCCCTGAACAATTCTTGGTCTGTCACTTTGCTAACCCATTTATCAAATGAAACATCTCCCTCGCAAATTCGACATAAGACTGAACAGGTGTCTTTTTAGAACCTCTAAATTTCTGATGCTAAGCCTCAGGTACAAGTTCATCAGCACGTAGGATAGCTGCTTTTACCATGTCATAATTCATGCTGTCAGTTAGAGACAGAGAAGCACATACCTCTTGAGCTTTTCCCACAAGTCTGCTTTTTAGCAACAGTGTCCAATAATCTTTAGGCCACTTCAGGGATATAGCAATACGCTCGAAGATGCTACAATATGTATCAACCTCGGTTTCTCTGAAGGGAGGCAAAAGAGCTGTGTGTTTGGCAATGGCAAACACTGGGCGTGACTCCAACACACTGTCAGGTCTAGAAAGGGGAAGAGGGACAGGCTCTGGGTCAGAAGAAGGGACTGGAGATAAATCCGGCTCAGTTCGAGGTTGTTGGGTAAACTCCTTCACCAGTTCATCAGTTCCAGTTCCCGCAGTCAAATTCCTTTCTCCATGTCCAGCTCCATTTGGCAGATAATTTGAGCTCCATCTCTGCCCGCCTCTGCTCTGCCCCCTCCAGCTCCCACCTTGTTAAAGACTCTCTCATACGGGCTTCGTCCCATAACTGCGGAAAGCGGGTCAAACCACAGTAACGTTGCTGGGTGTTTAGGAGAAACCGTTGTGGCTGCCCCATCCACCACTGGAACAGGGGTCACTATGCTGAGTGGTGGAAGTATCATCAGGCAAAACACGCAGCTCTACAACAGGTTGCTTAATTTCCCTCTTCACTAACTGACTTATTTGTAGCAAATCATCATTTTTACAACTATCCAACTTCTCTAAAGAAGGAGCAGCTAAAAACAAAGCTAAATTGAACTGCTGAGCCATGACAGATATGGGAACACTACGCCCCAACCAAGAGAACTCCAATAGCAATAAACCAGACTCCAGTTCCAAATCATATGCTCAATGTATGCTACTTATGCTATACATAAAGGGCACTAACCAAACAAACCACCCATCTGATTCGCACTACACACGTTCACACCAAACCACATGTTATGACCCCGCAGGCAATCTAGGTGACAACGGGTCAGTAACACATACACACACACACACACATTTTCTAAGCCACTTAGAAAACACTGAAATGCAAAGCGTGGGGAACGAGCCAGGAACACACAAGACACGAATCGGTTTCTGGATTTTAACATTTAATGCACTCTGTAGTGAATGTACAAAACTGTACATTCAGGGTCACAGTAAAACCACCACCAATATTAATATATACAATATTATCAATATACACAAAAGATCTGGACCTGGCACTAAAGGAAAGAACCCATCAAAACAAAAAAGAAAACAAACCTACCGTAGCTCTTAAATTAGGTCCTTACCTAATTGTAAAACAAAACAGCTATGTACACTATTCTAACCTACACCAGAAATATGTAAATACAAGGTTTGGCGCCCGCCCCTTACTTAACGTATCTATATATTTAGGTACTACATGTTGTAGAATGTATGGGCATGTTCATCTAGCCTGTCCAGAACTCACAACAGCACCGCAGCACAAAAGAAAAAGAGAGAGAGGGAGAGAGGGAAAGACATAAACAGTGAGGCAGTAACACTAGTGTGACCGTACAACAGGGAGCATAAATGTACAACGCAACTGTGGGCGACACATATTATGAAACTGAAACGGCTTCAAAGCACTCACACAAAAACCAACATGGGTGACAAAGAACATCAAGCTCTCGCGTCTACATCTATGAACAACAAGGACACAGTAGCACTCTACGCAGCTATGAGTGAGCATCGGGAGCTCAGGCCTTCTCTCTCCACAAGCTCTGTCTGCTCGCTTTTGCAACCTACTGCTAATGTGTTGATTATGACACCTGAAATAAATAAGCATAATAACAGCGACTGACCGCAATAGAGGGCTTGGAGGACCTTCTGGGCCGGTGGTTGAGGAGAATGTCGACAGCTCCCACCACCTCTGAGTCAATAGCCACCAAAAGTGCATCTGTTGACTGCAAACAAAAACACATACACGATTTTTATAATACACAATCAACAGAACCACAGCAGATGACATACAGTGCCGCTCATGAGTAACTGGACAGTGATCCACATAGGAGAACTGTTAGCCTGAGCTGCTTCTGTTGTCAGTCAGCTAGGATGTAAGACAGCTCATCAGCCAGTGTGGCCACTTTTGGCTTGCACTATAATACAAGGCAATACTTCACCGCTTCATTTCAACTCCATTATGGTGAAGTACAGAGCTAGAACAACAAGAACTGTGTCCCTTACTTAAGAATGTTGTGTGTATGCGTGCGTGAGTTAATGACCAGACCTGGCAGCCGTGGTCCAAAAGCAGCTGCAGAATGTCCAGGTTTTCGTTCTCGATAGCGATGGTGACCGCATCTCTGCCCAGCACGTCCACGCAGTTGATGTTAAGCTCACCGTGCCGCTTTTCCTCCAGGAGTTTCTTCACCATGTAGTAATCACCTTAATCAGACACCACAGCATTTCAGTCTCCTGCTTTAGCTGTTTAGTCCTCTTTATATAATCACTTTCAATGATTCAGCTAAACAAACAAATAATAATTGCTTATACCTTATGGGCAACTTTCTTAAAGGGGAATTTTACTGACTTTTCAAACTTTCTCATAGTTCATTCAGTGAGATATAAACAAAGTCAGTCAGAGTGGTTTGCAGTGAAATGGTTCACTGTACAGAAACTTACTAAGAGCCAGATTTACTAAAAGAGGCACTAATTATTGACCGTCTATGGATGCTTTTTGCGCTGGTGGGCATGGAAATTTAGCGGCTTATTTACTATGAACTTCCATGCAAATGAACACAGGAACATTAACATGAATGTTAATATTAATATGATAGAACAAGAGTTCACAATTTTTTTGTCAACGTTAAAAATCAACAAATGTGCTCGATAAACTCTCTCTTTTGTCTCGCAGTAACAACAATAGCAGCCACATTAGCACCTTTTCTCAGGTGTTAAATAACGCACAGTCAGTATTTACTCTCAGTCTTAATAGATCAGAACAGCAGCTTCATAATAATAATCATCTCTCAGTATTGTGTGCTTTAACAGGAAAACTCCTCAATGCATATGCAATTAGGAAAAGGCACAAGAGAGCAGCTCTGCCCCTTTAGTTTTAATGCAACAGTCACTTTTTAACACCAAAACATGGTTGGCGGTGGCACCATACGTTAGTAATTCTTTACAGTGGTGGTGAGATGAACAAGGGTTCGCAATGTCTATAACACAAATATAGCCAATTTATATATCATCCAAAATGACCAGTGAACCTACATGTCGTCTCAGTTCTTATATGTACGTTGATGATGGTAAAATATTGATAAATCTAAATCTTCGGTGACTATTTTGCCTCTCAATGCCCTGCATACACCTCTCCACCAATGTGTCAATGAACATGTCTTTGAAAATATGTTTTAAGCCAAGACATTATAGCATAACGTTCACAAAGCAATGTCTCAGCCATCAGACAGCATATTCATAACCATTTCATGTAAAAACTTTGTGTGAAGGAGCTCTTAGAGGTGGACGTCTGGTTCCTATCACCACCACTGTGAACAACTCTGACTCGGTAAGTTTCTCTAAAACAGAGCATTTCACACCAAACCACTCTGAATGCCTTTGTTTACATTTAAACCATATAATTATGGAGACATTTTAAAATTTTGGTGGAATTCCACTTAAACTTTAATGTAATGATTTTATTCTATGTAATTCTGGTCTAGTCCACTCTACATTAAATGTCCACGATCTAAAGGGCAGCTGATGTTTTTAAATGAAGTAAAAAAAAAGAAAAGAACAACAAATGAAGGTCAGAAACAACATTTTCATATGACAGCAACGCATAGCTGCGGTAACGATGGGCCGGAAACCTCTTTACAGCAAAAACATAGCCATCAAAGGACACATTTTCCTCCCTGAGCCATACTTAGGTTTACTTTATATGGTAAGGGAGACATCTGAGCCTCGTCTGCACAATGTAACTTGAGGTAAATAGAAGTAAGGCATGGCTGTTTTATTCATATAGAGAGGACAGTTTTGGACTATGACCTTCTGAAACGGAGCTTTAGACAACACATCGCAGGATTTGTTCCACTTAGTTAGTGGATCTTATCTGATAGTGCAGCCGATAAATTCTTTTGAAATATAAATGCCTCAGTGATGTTCTATAATTCATCACAATGATGAAACATTCACTGTACACTTTTGGAAACCATTCAAAACCAAAGAGAAGGAAGCATTTGCTTGAAGGCACTTTAACTGAAGCTGTTTACTCAAAACCAAAACACAAAGCAACAACCACAACAACAAAACAACAGCAAATTCATGCAGGATGATGTTGCTCAGCAAGGTTTTAGGTTTTTTTCACCAGAAAATGACTTTTTTGTAACCATTTCTTCTCCTTTTTTACTTAAAATACTGATTTTATTCTGCTTACATGCCTGACCAGGTGATGATTCAGGGCGTATTTCACAAAGCAGGACCTGTCAGTTAGCCAGATAACTAAAGCCCAAATATGAGGTCTGTCCAATACGAATGTCCCTCAGCACAACTTAGTAAGGCGTGCAAACAAGATAATTAAGCCGTGGCCACAACTTAGTAAGTGTGGGAATGAGATCATGCCATACTAAGTCGTGGCCACGCATTAGGATCTTGTTCCCATGCCTTACTTAGTCGTGGCCATGACTTAATTATCTTGTTCCCACACCTTACTAAGTTGTGGCCATGACTTAATTATCTTGTTCCCATGCCTTACTTAGTCGTAGCCATTACTGAATTATCTTGTTCCCACGCCTAAGTTGTGGCCATGACTTAATTGTCTTGTTCCCACGCCTTACTTAGTCGTAGCCATTACTGAATTATCTTGTTCCCACGCCTTACTAAGTCATGGCCATGACTTAATTATTTTGTCCCCACGCCTTACTAAGTCATGGCCATGACTTAATTATTTTGTCCCCACGTCTTACTTAGTCGTGGCCACGCCTTATTATTTTTTCCGTAGTTTTGTTCTGTTTTTTTGAGAATTTGTTTTGTGTTAAATTTTGAAAAATGAACACAAGGAAGCGCTAAATCCTCCTCCCTCCTGCCCACCATCCTCAGTTAATACACTGAAACAACAAAATGTATATAGAAACAAAAAATAAACACTATAAAATAAATTACCTTTGTATACACATGTATGTACCTATAACCACACACACATATATCCATACGCACATGTACACACTTATACCTATCTATATACTCACACACTTTCACAAAAATACCCATAAAAAGTAGGAGTTATTCCTGCGATAAAGAGAGCGAAGATACACAGTGATGTCTGTTATCATATCCCAGCATGCATTACACTAAAAGTATTCTATGTCTCTGTATATTTTCAATTTACAATGACTTTACTCGTGCACTGAGCAGTTTGCTGATGTTATACATTGTCAGTTTTGTCTAAAATGTTCTAAATAAATAAATAAACAAACACGTAATGTAATAAGAAACCATTATAACATTTAAAACTGTTCTAAACTGAAAGATAATGACAACCCTTTATCAGATAGAACACACTGTTCATTGTTTCAGTCAAAGGTTAACGACAAATAACAGTAACATTTCATTTCAAACTTAAACACAATGACTATATAAATGAACAGTCATGAAGAGCGTGATCACATTAAACACCTGTTTTTAAAGATGAATCATCATGACGCTCCACACACACACAAATCCCTTTAAAGGGTTTTTTTCAAGGTTTCTGCACAATTCAATGATTTGGATGTAAAAGAAGTCATTCAGTGTGGTCTGATGTGAAATGCTCTTTTCTAGAAAAACGTATAAAGTCAATTGTTCACAGCGGTGGCAAACAGTTTAATGCCTCTAAAGGCTACATCACAGAAAGCTGTTACATGAAATGGTTATGAATACGCTGCCTGAGGTCTGATATATCGTTTATGACAGTTTGGAGAGAAGATTTTGGCTTAAAATGTATTTTTTATCCCTAAAATGGTGGATAGATAAATGCAGGACGTTCTAAGATTTACCAACATTTTACCATCAACAACATTACATATAAAAACGCAGAAGTCAAGTCAAGTCAGAGTTTATTTATGTAGCGCTTTTTACAACAGGTGTTCTCACAAAGCAGCTTTACAGAAAAATCCGGGTCCAAGCCCCCATGAGCATCAACATTGGTGAAAGCGGCAAGGAAAAACTCCCTAAGAGCAAGAGGAAGAAACCTTGAGAGGAACCAAGACTCAGAAGGGGAACCCATCCACCTCTGGTCAACACCAGATAGCAAACAGTGTTGGTACAAAATATTAGAATACAAAACAGAGAAAATATGCAGAGCAAGTAAGTTGAAATGGAGAGATGGTCCCTCAGACCGATGGAGAACGTGTTGTATATGGTTTTACACAGAACCTTCTCGAATATGGTTCCATATAGCACCAAAAAAAGGTTATTTAATTATTACAAGCTTGGAATCACAACAATTGAAAAGCCCTCTCTGGTGCTATACAGAACCATTTTCAACAAGGTTCTATACAGAACCATATACAACACATTCTCCATCACTCTAAAGAACCATTTCACCATGCAAAGAACCATTTAAGCACGAAATGGCTCTGTACAGAACTCACTGTTCTAAAGCACCATTGCCTTTGGTAAAGAACCCTTGAAGAACCATCCTTTTTAAGAGTGATGGTGGTTTTGGACAGTAAATAAAATGGCTGTATTTGCAATGCAGACATGGTCTATAAGTTTCTCTACGATAAATCATTTCACACCAAACCACTCAGAATCACTTTGTTTACATCTCAATAATTGTATTATGCAGCAATTTTGGAACAAACATCAGTGTAATTCCCCTTGTTTTCCCACTTACAGCCTCGTTATCTCACCAAAACAGATCTTATAGTATGCTAGCCCATCCTATGTCAGGCCTGGACCTGTAGCTATACCCCCCCCCCCTCCTCCTCCTCCCCTTTGGTCAGTCTGCATGGCCTTCTGCCCACTCACCCTTCTCGCAGGCCAGCAGAAAGAGCTTCTCGTCGAGCGTGGTGTCCTCCTTCACCTCCCTCACGTCTTTGAGCGCCAGATAAGTGTCCGGAGAGGAGGCGCCAGGGGCCTGGTAGCCGGCAGCCATGACCACGGAGAGGGAGCAGGGCAAGACGCTGATGTGCATCCCAGCTGGAGCCCACTGAGACGGGGAGGGAGAGAGGCAGGCAGCCCGTCCGTCCCTCCGCGAGGCTCGGCTACGTGCTGGGGAGGCGCCGGAGCAGCAGGTGCAGCGCGGGAACCAAACGCATCGCCGACGAGAAGAGAAACCAGAGAAAACTACTCACTGAACGCGCTGAGCTCGCGCTACGAAAACAGCGAGAGGGATGGTGATGATGGTGGTGATGATGATGGGGATAATGGTGATGCTGCGCACGCGCACTCCGCGACCGCTGTTTGTAGAGGCGTTACATAAGATCAGACTGAGTGGGAACATCATCAGGAAATTCACAGTGGAAGAGGAGGAGGAGTGGGGGCGGGGGGAAGGGGGGTGTTTAATTTCGTATTTTTTAAGGTTGAATACACTTAAAAAGATGGTTCTTCTAGGGTTCTCAGTAAAGAAAATGGTTCTATATAGAACTATGAACTCTCAAAGAACCCTTTGCATGATTACATGGTTGTTTCCATGGTGAAATTGTTCTTCAGATTGTTGGAGAATGTGTTGTAGATGGTTCTCTATAGTACCTTTTTGAAAAAGGGTTCTATATAGCACCAAAAAGGGTTCATCAACTGTTACAATGTCAAGCTCGTTACAATAGAAGAACCCCTTTTTGTAAGTGTGTATCATGGGCTTTATACAGAGACATAAGTCACAGAATAGATTGAGAATTACAGATTAAACATGTAGTGATGGATTAGAATGAGAGCATGTGATACATGTTAAAGCATCACAATTAGAGATGTATTTGACATTGGATATGCAGTGATAATTGCATCAAATCAAACAAGGGATTTTATATTATGAATTATTTAATATTATAAATTGTGTCATTGGTTTTCATCGCTGACTCTTAACAGACGTGAATGCTTTGTACACAGTGAGGACCAAACGTCTGAGAACACTAGTGAAAACGCTTCTGTTTTGCATTCTGTTGTAATTTAATACAAAATGTTTCATTACAAAATATATTATCAGCTTAAGGATCTGAGTGAAGGTGGAATCTGTTAAATATTTATATGAATTTCAAAATTCCTGTGCATTTGTCTCCATTTTTTGGAGAACAGAACATTTTTATTCTAAAGTGTTCTGTTGTTTATTTCCAGAATTAAATTAAAACAATCACAGATTTTCAGTGTAGTCTCAGACTTTTGGCCTTCCCAGTTGTGTATAGTCAAATAATAGCACACATATATATATATATATATAATTAATAGGGTGTAAAATAATTAATAAGACGGCTTTTATTTGACTGTATTATTTATATATATATATATATATATATATATATATATATATATATATGTATACAAACATATTGTGATAAATTAAGTCATAATACAACACAATATGCTTTACTGTAATATCATCAGTACTTGTAGACACTGGCCAACGTCATATTTTATTATAAAGAGAGCAAAATTAGTTTAACTGGATTTAGTGCAGCACAGTATGTGAAATATTGAATAAAAATCATTGTATTCACAGTTTCTGAGAGTATTTTTTAAATGCAGCACTACTAGTCATTTTTTTCTCTGCTCCAACTAATCAGATGTATGAAAATTTTAAATATCATGACATATTGTGTATCGTGTGAAGAAACCAAACCCCAACTAACCAGGGGACCAGCCTGATGCGCGCAGGTACCAGACACCTAGCCAGCCTGTCAGACATTGGGCTGATGTAGTTTTATAGCAGGACTAATGCGAAGATTAGGCTCAGCCTATACATGACAAGTGACAAGTGTGACAGACATGACCATGTACAGATAACAAGAATAGGCAGAAGAATGTTACAGTCACAGTTCAGAACACACATAGTGCTGAATATAATGACATATAACACAACACTAAACATATTACAGAGCAGTACATTTCTACACATGAAAATGTCTTGAAGTATTGCGATATCATATTTTCTCCATATCGTCCACCTCTTAGCACACTAAATTTTGTTACTGAGAAAGTTAACTTATGACATGTGTTGCTATTGTAATTATATTGCCTTACAATCATTGTGCTTTGAACCAGTTCAGTAGATTGATCCATATAAGCTGCAGTTATAAAGTCATAACAGTGCCTTAGAGGCACGCTGTCACTCATGGCCTTTCACTCATAGCACATAAACACTGGAAGAGCAGATGAACACCAGCTTTTACATACGTGTTTTTGATATATTATTGGATATTTTGTATTTCATATATGCCTACCTCAAACGCAATTGTATGTTACAAAGTAAACGTTAATAAAGGAGAAATAAACATCACCTGTCCTCAGAACCTCACCCACTCTATGAGCTTGCTTCTGCCCTCTACTGCTGTGGAGATGTACTGCAGTTATGTGCTGTTGTGGAGGTCTCTTTTGTCAAATACAGTGTTTTTAGTCCTTGACCTGAATCATTTTTGTATTATTCCCGCTCATTTTGTATTAACCCTCATCTCAGAAGGTAATTATCAGTCTATTTTGAACTATTTTGTCTATTGTGAAGAGTGTTATATCAAGGAAATAATGACAATCTGGGGTTACCAGGACAGAAAATGAACACTGCTGGGTTAAAACCCAGCAAATCCATCAAGTCACTTGAGAGCATACCGTGCTCTATCCTCCATCTTCCGTTAAATGTGCCAAATGCGCCATATTTCTTCTCACCAGTAGATGGCAGCCCATAACCGCAAGTCATTGTTCACCTCCATGGACAGTCCAGGCCTTTACAGGTTAATCAGGCTGGTCTCTGTAAGACTAAATGACTTCTTAAACATTCTCACATGCATGATTGTACGAAGTCTTTATTGGCTTTTCTTTCTTTATCAAACAAGGGATTTAATATTATAAATTGTGTTAATTGTTTTTATTGCTGACTCTTAACAGATGTGAATGCATTCTCAGCAACATTATTTACAGGGGTGACCAAAAGTCTGAGACCACTAGTGAAAAATGCTATTGTTTGGCATTCCTTTGAAATTTAATACAAAATATTTCATAATAAAAAAATAAGCATAATAATCTGAATGAAAAATAGAATCTTTTAAATATTTACATGAATTTTTAAATTTCTATGCATTTGTCTCCATTTTATTTGTCACAGCTTTTCTTTGTTTTATTCTGTTATTGCTCTGTTGTTTATTTCCAGAAGTAAATACTTAGAATGTAATCTCAGACTTTTGGACCCCACTATATATATAGTCAAATAATAGCATGCATATCTATTTATCTATGATGTATATATATATATATATATATATAGTGTCATTTAATTTTTAAGAGTGCTAATCCTGGAAATAAACAACAGAACATTTTAAAATAAAAAATAAATAAAACAAAGAAAAGTTATGACAAATAAAATGGAGACAAACGCAGAACTGTAGGCTACTTTTGAACGTTACAAATGGATAAAAGCCTGGTAGGAATAATGTTTCGTTTCTGAATGATTCTTCGTTCACTTATAAGCACTAACAATATAACCACTAACTTCCACTAACAGACATAGACCGGAACGATCTGACCCCAAAACAATTTTATTAAACGACTTAAATGTACATGGCATTAATTTTGATAAGATCAAAAGTAAGTCTGCGCATATAACGTTATTAAATATGACATTTGTGGATAGATGTGGCTCCATGTTGCCTTTGTTTTGCTTTGTTTCCTTCTTCTTTGTGTGCGTTTTTTTTTCATTTTGCTGTGAAACGTGAACCACTGTTCACTACCGTTAGATTCACCGCCCGCCAACCTACAATCTTGCTATGTGTTGTTGTTGTTGTTGCAATTCAATAATTAAAAAATAAATAAAATAAATAATAATATAAAAAAAAACCTTCCACTCGCATCAGTGACGAAACAGCACGTTGACAGACACACCAACCAGCCAATAGCGTCTCCAGCTGTGAAATCGAACACCGGCACGGACCAATAGGATGCGAGCATGGGCGGGCCTGATCCGTGAAGGCTAGAGACTGAATCAGTTCCGCCCAGTAGTTTGAAAACACAACGGCGCATCGGGACGGGAGGACGCGGCGGTGTGGAGCTCGGAGCCCGGGAGCTGAGGAGCCGAGGAGCCGGTGAACCTTCTTTCTGTCACTTTAGGCTTTAAAGCAGCCTCCTGTCGCGAAGTGTGCCGTTATTTTCGCTCATATTTCCGCCGTGGCGGCGGTGGGCTGGCGTTCAGCATCGCAAGGAGCTGCATGGCGTTCAGAGACGTTGAGTTTTAGTGTCTGATAAACTGATAAAGGGTCTTTTTTGACCCCCGTATGGCTATCCTCGCTGAACGATGGCTCTTCTAGGGGTTTCCGGCGCTTTGGTGCGGGATGGCGCAGTGCAGTAAGGGCACATTGGCGCTGCACTGTTTTTGGGTTGCCAGTGTGATGAGGCTTGCATGACTGTTACCTAATCGAGAGGAGTGCTTTACGTCCGATTTTGTTCATGCACAGATGTAGGCCACTCTGCACCAGGACCTGACTCCACAAGCTGCTGCTGCTGCTGCTGCCCGTCTGCACTGGTGTTTTGGAGTGGACGGAGTGGTCCAAGGCCACTCTCCCTTGCTGCTGCTACCCATGAGAGGCAAACAGTACCAGCAACTCAAACTGGCTGCACCTCGGGAGACGGACGCCGACTATGGGAGGAAACTCAAGACGTACCAGAACCACACGAAGATAACCGCCCAGCCAGGGATCGTGATGAAAGTGCTGAGGAGAAAGAGGATTATTTTGTTCATAGCTTACTTTCTGCTGCTGGTTTTGACCATGTTGAACTTGGCCAACTACAGGTGGAGCAAGGAGCCCCAGCAGTGCAGCCACCAGACACGGAGCACTGCCTACCAGGGCCGCTCGGACATCCGCTTCCTCTACAGACCCTCCTTGGCCAAGAAGAGGCAGCTCGTGTACGTCCTGACCACGTGGAGGTCGGGGTCATCCTTTTTCGGTGAGCTTTTCAACCAGAACCCGGAGGTGTTCTTCCTGTACGAGCCCATGTGGCACATCTGGCAGAAGCTGTACCCCGGCGACGCGGTTTCTCTACAGGGGGCAGCCCGGGACATGCTGAGCTCCCTGTATCGTTGTGACCTCTCAGTGTTTCAGCTGTACAACAGCCCCGGGGGCAAAAACTTCACCTCCCTCGGGCTGTTCGGGGCCACCCTCAACAAGGTGATCTGCTCGTACCCCCTCTGCTCCGCCTACAGAAAGGAGGTGGTGGGCATGGTGGACGATAAGGTGTGCAAGAAGTGCCCACCGCAGAGTCTACGGATGCTGGAGGAGGAGTGCTTGAAATACAACACCATCGTCATCAAAGGGGTGCGCATATTGGACGTCAACGTTTTGGCCCCTCTGATGGAGGACCCCTCGCTTGACCTGAAGGTCATCCACCTGGTGAGGGACCCAAGGGCCGTGGCGAATTCCAGGATCAAATCCAGACACGGCTTGATCCGGGAGAACCTGCAGGTGGTCAGGAGCCGCGACCCCAAACTCAGGCGGATACCGTTCGTAGACCCCGGGCATAAAATGAGCAAAAAGGATGGGGCGGACTACCACTCCATTGGAGCTATGGAGGTGATTTGTGACAGGACACACAGGAGCTTGCGGACGGCGCTGAACCCGCCCGCTTGGCTGAAAGGAAAGTATCTGGCTGTCCGTTACGAGGACCTGGTGGAGAACCCTGTCAAAGTCCTGCGCCACGTTTACCGCTTCGTTAATCTCAGTGCCAACCACGACATTGAGTCTTTCGCCCTCAACATGACCAACGGCACAAACTCCTCCTCAAAGCCGTTCATTGTGTCGTCCAGGAACGCCACCCAGGCGGCCAGCGCTTGGAGGACGCTCCTGAGCATCCAGCAGATCAAACAAGTGGAGGACTACTGCCACCAGGCCATGGCCGTGCTGGGCTACGAGCGCGTACGAACGGCCACTGAGGCGAAAGACTTGAGCAAATCCTTACTGACTGCCTCCAAACTGTGACACCGACCTCTCACCAAAGACTTGCTAATTTGAATGGTGTCAGTGTAGCTCGATAGCTGTGGAATCCAAGCTTTATTTTGTTTCAGTGTTTTATGGAGGGATTTGACATGCCTCATAGGAATGTACTTTATTTTGTGGTAATTTAATGCTACCACGGCTTTTATAACTGGATTATGGATGTTGTTTGATGAGCCGTCTACAAAAAAAAAACATGACTTGAATATGAGAAGAGTCTTGATATTGTATAAATCACGTGTCTTGCATTGACAACACTTCAGAATGGATGTTTTTAGGGTTCTTTTGAATGTTTCAGACCCATCCGTTAGTTTGAGTTTGTTTGCTCACTTTCAAAGTGCAAATTGTGAATGGAAAATATTGACAACAAACCGTAAAACCAATTAACATGCTCATTCTAAAAGCAGGTGATGCTGTTTAGTTAGTGCAGGATCCTCTCAGAGACAATCATTAAAGTGCTCTGTAATGCTTTCCCTGTTTCTGCTGCTCCTTTGACTTGCCTGATAATTTGTTAGAGTCAGCCTTCAACACTGGGTGCTTTGACCTCCTCCTTGTTCTCTCTGGTTCAGACGTCTCACTGGCTTGTACTGCTTGATGATTTCTCTGGGGGAGTTTTGTTTTTTTTTGCAGGATAGAATCTTTGCCATTTTCTCACATCTATAAATCATTAATTGAGTGATTGTATGTCTGTTAGATTGTTGTGATTAATACGTCTCTTCTGTGGCTTGAACTTTTAGACAATATAATTAGCTAAAAGGGTTCTATATAGCACCAAAACAGGTTTTACTTGTTTCAGTAGCAGCATCCTTTATGGTAGTAGGGGGCCAAAATATATTATACCATACTATAATATACAATACACCATGATGCTTTGGTTTTCTGGGGTTTGATAAGTTAGAACAGACAAAATTTGCCAGTGGTGCCAAATTTAAACAGTACTATTCAATCTTTCAAATACTGCACTGCACTTAATCCAATTAAATCGGACTAATTGTGCTCTCTATAATGAAACATTGAGTTGGTTGATGTTCTTTAAATACTGACCGGATGGACAATATGCTCAGGAAAGCATATTGTAATGTAATGTGACATCATTTATCACAATAATGATGAATATCATCAAATTTCCAACCCCTACCTTTTGGTAAACAGACCCATATAGAGTATTAGAAGAAGTGTAGATGAATCATTCAGCCATGCAAAGAACTATTTATAACATTCAAATGGTTATTTGAGTTGTTATAGTTGTATACATTACCATTCTCATCACTAAAGAACTCTTTACAGCAGTGGTTCTCAAACCGATCCTCAAGGACCCCCTGACGGTCCACAGTTTTGCTCTTTCTCTGTGTTGAGAGATGGGATTTGGGCAAAAATGTGCACTCTATGTGTCTCTGAGGGTCAGTTGCTGCCTTAAAGAACCCTCTTTATTGAATAGGAACTGAAAAGCAGATATGCAGGTAGTCCCTCCTCCTTCTTTCTCTTTTTCCCTTGCTTTGCATTTTAGCTGGAGACCTCAAGTGATTGTAAGTGGTGGGCTGGACTTAAATGCACCCTTTCTCTCAGTTGGCGGGTTTTGTGGAACATGTGGCGAATGTAAGTGTGTGCTGTCTGAGACATCAGAAGTAAATAGCTTGGCTTGTTTTAGAGCGCAGACGAGTTTGTTGTCTGCCCTATCGCAACGGTAGGCTTGTGCATCCAATGCAGATGACATGGTCTTGTGAGGCTGGAATGCAGTGGCAGCAGTGCTGATAGCTTTTGGAATTTGAAAGTAGTAAAAGATTCAATTCTGTGGTTCATTTTTTGAAAAATGCTGGAATATAGACCTGACAGCGGCATGCACAAACCCAAAGTAGCCCTGCATGACCTTCAAGAGGCTTGTGTATAAAATATTGATATGTCTGCTCTTCCAGTGGCATTATATAAAAGAAATACCAAAACAATTGAAATAAACTGAATTACGGAACGATGTGACTTTGACCGACCAGGACAGCCTGAGTGTACTTTCATTCAGATTTATGACAGTTGCATATCGTTCCCTTGGAATTATGAGGTTCTGTCTGTGCTCTGAGCAGTTTTGAGATATTGGGCTTCAAAGATTTTGCATTCTAAATAGCAGAACTGATATGTGGAACACGTCTCTTTCATACAGGAAAATGACAGACACCCTAAATGTATTCTAAATGTATAATGTCAAAATCCTATCAAATTTGTTTGAGTTATTTTTTTTTTGGAACAGGTCAAATGCAGACAGAACCTTCTAATCCTAGTAACTCACTTTCTACTTGGAATTATGAGGTTTTATCTGGCAAAACATGAAAAGAAGCAACAATTTTTAAGGAACACAAACAGATCACTTATATTTTGTTTTAAAAGATAAAATTAGTGTAACAGAGTGTCTACATGTATCAGAATATTAAATTTAATGCTTTCGGTGACATTTTTCTGACATTTTTTAAATGTATTTTTTATGATATTTATTTCTTGTTGTAGGACAAATCGTCTTTTTCTTTTTTTTTTTAAAAAAAAGCACTGATTGATAGATTAAGTATAAAAGTCAGTATTAAATATTTTGTCCAGTGCAGAGGTCAGTTTTTGGTAGGAATCATTGGTTTAAATGTCCTTTAGGTTAGACAGCGACCAGCTACTGTAATAAACTGTCCCAGCTAGTAAGTGTGAAGGCTGTATGAGGTTTTGTTTCATATCAGAAATGTGACTTTAATGCACCAAATTGTCTTATTTTGGGAGAAAGAAGAAAAAGAAAAGATGAATGAAATGAATGAAATTACTGTTCATGTTGTAATTAAGACCCCATGAATTCAAATGTGTACTATTTAATCACCTTTAAGGCTCAATATTTATAATATTTAAGACACTAAGACTTTTTAAAGAACCACAAGAAGACTGGCAGAGTCTCAGCAGCATGTTTTCATGTTTCATAAAGTTTTGTAAAGTTTTCCCTGAGCAGTGCAGTGACTTGACAAAGAAGCAGAGCCTGATTGGTGCTCTTGTGTGTATTTGAAGTGCTGATTGGCTCACAGACAGAACCTTATAGAACTAAGTCAGAGTTTGACTTCGGAGGTAGAACTTTCTTGTTTTCTAGATAAAGAGTCCAAATGCACACGACTTAAAAAAACACACATAATGTTAAGAAGTTGTCACAGAATAAGAACATAACTCAATTTTGACAAAAATGTCAGAAGAACCTCATACTTCTAGGAGATGAAATGTATTAAAGAATATAAACCCTGTCTTTGGCACTGCTTAGATACTGAACCCTTCAGGACGGTCATGTGGGCAATAGAATGTGGCAACTGGTACAAAAGCACAGAATTTCACTTGCCATAAAATAGGAAACAGGCCTTATTTATTTAACCAAATTCTGCAAACACATTACTAGTTAAACAATATGACTTTTCCAGAGGGTCAGAAACTGCTCTAAATTGGGACGTCATTACTGTAAAATCATCAAATGTGTACCATATGTTGTTTTCCACCAGATATCATATGAAAACATGCGCTCGCTGTGAGATGAAGTTGTCTTTGGCTGGCCTTATGCAGCAGTGCACAGCTGTCAGTACTGTCCTTTTGGAGGGGGAGGGGGGCATTTTCACATTACTAATTATAAGGGTAATGTAGGGGGAAAGCACTGAATAACCTAATGCCATTTTGCAATGTAGCTGCAGTTTTTTTCTGTAACTTCAAAACCATAATATTAATCTAACCTTTTAAATTGCAGGCTTATTGCTCAGTTGTCAAACCTCAGAAGTTGCCATTATTGCTGACGATAACAAAAGCATGTGGAAATTTCATATAAATTATTTATCACTTGTAGCTCAGTGAAACAGGCAGGCAAATTCTGTTGAAAGTGCAGATTCTGAACTGTCAGGCCATACACTATTTGTGTTTGTTAGTAGAAAAGTAAATATTTATTATGATTTGAATTTGTTGCTTGGAAGTTGTTGTGTGCAGTCTTGTCTTGCGGACAGAGAAACCGCCCTTACGTACTCGCAGCTTAAAATGCCGACTTACAGTTAATAATCTTAGGACTTATTTTTCAGTAACTATTAGAAAACTGGTAACACTTCATTTGAAGGCTGTAGGGACTTCATAACATATGCATAAGCATTGATTAACATATTTATAAAGCTGTACATTAGGAGTTATGAACAGCTCATGCCATCAGTTGAACTATAACAATGTTTTGTGAAGTAAATTGTGTTGACATGAGTCATCAATGAAAGTGACAGGCATTGTTCTATTTACAACACAGTAAGTAAGCATCATCCTGAAGTCCTAATCATCCTCAACATAAAAATTTGGTAACGATTTATTTTGGGAGGTACTTTTAGATGAAACAAACATTCAACGGACGCCTCAATAACATGTCAAAAACATGTGGCTGCTGTTGGAACAAAATCCAAAATCTGTCTCCAAAATGGTAACTTTACAGGAGAAAGAAAAAACATACTTTACTTTTAATGTAAGTCAATGGAACCAGACTTTATTCCAAGTCATTTTGAGCCATTTCCTTTGATCCATTCAGCATAAAATTTACACTCAATATAAAGGACAGTAGGTATTTTCAAATTATGTCAAAAACTGAAAAACAACAAAAATGGAAATACAAGGTTTCGTTCCAACAGCAGCGATATGAGGGCTAGGATTAGGTTTTGGGTTGAGGTTAAGGTGAGGGTGAGGGTTAGGTTTTGGGTTGAGGTTAAAGTTAGTGTTAGGATTAGGGCCAGGGTGAGGGTTAGGTGTTGGGTAAGGTTGGTAAGGTTATGTTTTCCGTAATGGAAGTAACATATTAATAGTACATCTACTCAATGTTAGTAATGTATCAACAGAACATCTACAAGATACTTACTTCAGTGTGTTCAGATGCTGCACTACTGATAGTTCACTAATATGTTGTTGATGTGTTACTGATAATCTGTTAAGAGTTTATTAGTCATCTACAAAGGACCACTCCAAATAAAGTGTTACCATACAAATGTCACTTGCTTTTAGGTGTACTTTAAGGAAGTAAATGTACTTTGAGTTGTTATAGACGTCATGTTACATTATCATGATGAACAAGTTCCATTAAGGAGACCTGGCTGCCTGCAGACGTGACTTAGTTGTTCATATCTGCAGCCACACAGGTCTCTTTAATAAAACTTGTGCTTTGATGCTTCGTAACAGTGTTATGGATGGAACAAATGTCTCTCACCTTAGTTTAAGGCCCCTTGTGTCAATACAGTCATTTACTTCATAAATTACTGGCATGAGATGTTCATAAATCCTTAAAAATTGCTTTTCAAATACATTATTGAATGCTCATGCTATGATTTGAAGTTCATATTAGGGTAACCTTTAAATAGAGTGTTACCAGGAAACTAACAGGTAAGCTACACCGATCAGTCATAACATTATGACCACCTCCTTGTTTCTACGCTCATTGCCCATTTTATCAGCTCCACTTACTG